AGACGTTTAGAAACAACAAGAAGAAGTGAATTAGGCGATTGTTAGAAATATCGGCATGGTCATTTTAATAGACATAACAAACAAACAAACAAACAAACAACAAAAACTTTTTATTAAAAAAAATTGACACGAAAGACGAAAAATTACAGTGACTATGACTACAATAAATACAAATTGTAAAAAACATTGTGCACACAGACTGATAGCTAAAATGGAAGAAGAAAAAATTAAACAATAAACAATAAGTTACTGCTTCTGTGTTTTACTTATGCTTAAGTAGAACTTCAAGAAAAAACACACCAATGGACAAAATATATTCAATAAAGAATATTGCTATAGCCTCGACTGTAACATGAATCCGTATTTTAACCGTCTTCTTATGTGGAAAATCTATAGTAAGCATCTGCAGTAAGCATCATAATAAGAGCTAAACGAAGCACAATATCTCGACCCAGGATATGGAGTACTTAAATATGAACGTGAGGACTTCTAAATCTAGTTATAACTACGCAGTTTCTCTACTGTAAAATATTTGGCACCCTTTAATCGGCAAACCATGACTTGCCATAACCATCGCCAAGAAAAAAACCAGATTAACGGCAGTTGCACAGTAATTACCTCAATAACTACGGTTTTAATAATTAAGTAAACTTACTTAAAATTTTTTTAAATAGGCCGAGAAATCTGATTTCTTTACTAGAAAACTAATAATATTAGATAACTTATAGTAGTAAAATCTTCGCGGAAAATTCACCGGAGGTAACCTATATCTCATAGTGCATTAGTGCATACCCAATCTGCTATTGATTGATGAGTCATCACATCACTGACCACATACTAAATATGAAACATTTGTCTATCATGTATGTGGGAAAGATATCGAAAAATGACTGGATAATCTGGACTGGCCAATCATAAAGATGAAATAGTAGAGGAGATTCTTAGTGATGAGAGAGAAAACATCTCAAGACATGAGGCAAAGTTTCTGGCAAAGTCTGTTGATACAGAGATAGGAAAAGTATATAGACATTGTTCTGTAGATGGAGATAGATGTCGCAAGAACTCAACAAATTTTCATAACACGAGGGAAATCATCCATGATTGATTAATGAAACTTCCAGAATAAGGATATGTCTATCATGCAAAATCAATTAGCCAAAAAAAGGTCATTTATTAGATAAATGAGTGTCTGAACCTTTTAGATCGACAAATAGCCTAATCAACGAAGATTAGAAATTTTGAGATAACATCAAACTTCCCAAAAAAACAAGTCTTTAACATCCTGAAGAAAAACGGGCAGAGTCAGAGCAGTAAGACGGTCAACAAATTTCCTAAAACAGTGAAAACGAACGAGATAATAGTCTAACTAGGCTGACGAGTATTCGTGAGTATTCGTAGTAAAAAAAAAAAGAAAATCTTAAAATAGAAGCGTAAAGATCGGTTTTTTTCTGTCGGTTTTTCGGTTTTGAAAACCGAAACCGATACATACCTAATAGTAGTTCATTCAATGAATATCCCAGTTTTCAAAAGTGTATTGAGCGGCAGAGTCACAAAGCGTAGCAATTATCCTGACTATAACATTTATCTACAAAAAATGACCTATCACCTCAAGATGTTCCGTCGTTTGAGCAATTCTTTTTCTTCTTTCTCTCTACCTAGATTTACACTTCTTCTGAATATGATCTAACGTTATCGTCACATATCATAAGAAACAGGTTTTATCGAAATTTTAGTATTATGATATTAGCTGAAGAATGATCAAGTATCACAAAAAGGTCGACCATTGTTTTTCCTATCATTGCATATAAGAAAAAGATTTTCTCAACCTTCCTATACAGTATTGGAGTGTCACTGCCACTGCTTTTGGATTGTCCGAAGTATTTTAGTGTATTATCTTAAAACATGTATTAGTCACGATTTTTTCTTCATTTTATTAGACTATTTAGAAAACAATAATAATCATTCGAGGTGAGGAAAATACATCTTACAATGTTTTGGTAACTGTAAAGATTCATAAAGAACAAGCCTTTTTACTTTAGAACAATTGTTTCGTGTAGTATCCATTGTAAAATTCTGTGTCACACGTTGCAGTCGATCATAATCAATTGCCAATCGAATGTAATTTGATAGGCACGTTTTCGTGTCAAATAAAAATTGCTCAGCATAATCGTCATGAACATTCGGAAGACGAAGTTCAATAAGATGAGAATATTCGATAGCTGAAAACTTTCGATTATCATCATTTGATTGTTGTTGTTTGTAATTTTGTGGCTTTGAATTATCTATAGTTAACTTTTTTAGAAAAGGAAATGCTTGAGAAATTCGAATGAAAAATTCATGTTCAAAAGGACGTTCGTCAAACAGTGTGGCTTCCTGAACATTATTAAATAATCCGCCTGGCAAATTATTGGTTATATTATCATAATATGTTAACGTATATGGGTATGAATAAATATGACATTGGCCATATCGTTCTTCTGGAAAATAGTCAACACAACAAATAACTTCATAGTCTTTGAAACCTGCAAATGTACGATGAATGTCTTCATTGGATGGTAAATGCATTTGATCGCTAGGATGAATCATTGAGCGAATATTAAATATGAAATTATTTAAGCGAGGCATATGACTTATAATATCATTTTTCAAATTATTACCATCGATAAATGTTTCGTGATGATCGGTTGCAATATATAAATCCAGTTTTTCCAGATTTATCATTCGATGTAAATTTGGCACAAGCACCTCATCATAAACAACTATTTCACTAATGCACGTCAACGAAAAATGTGTCAAACTAGCTAGTTTTTCCTAAAACAAAAATAATATGATCATTTAATAGTTAGATTGATACCGATTCTTAACTAAATTAACTGTTTTAACAATGAATATCTTATTTTTCTTTCAAAGTAGTTAATTTACCTTATTGATGCTAGTTGATCGAAGAGGAAGAATATGAAAGGTAGTAACAAACAATAAACGTAGTTGATTCAAACGACCATCGAGTAGATAAAGACAATCATCGAAGCGATATACGTTGATATGTAATTCTACCAGAGTTGAAGAAGAAAACGTTGGGTTTTGATTAGCAAATGATATATATCCAGTTCCAATAGGTGCTGATGAATAGAATTTTAAATGACAAAGATTGGTAAATACAAGCAAGATATGCAAAAAGATATTTGCTAGGGGATTCATTTTAAAATAATCTTGTATAGTTACTTTACCGTTAACATACATTGTCACAATCTGATTTTGAAAGATATGAATTAGAGGAGATGCATCTAAACATAGATATAAGATATTAAAACAAAGTGTATTTTTAATGTTGATTGATAAAATCATTCTTGTTTTTCCTTTTTGAACAACACTCTTACATATATTTACACATTCTCATTTTCTATCGTTCATCCCTAGTCGACCGATCTTACGGCAATTCTATAGAAATCTTATAAGAATCTTATATAAGACAGTCGATGGCAATGCGTAATTTATTGATAAGATTCTTATAAGAAGGAATATAAGAATCTTATAAGATTCTGATAAGAATTCGGTAAGATAGATTATATAATTATTTTATAAGAATTCATAAGATTT